AGCCTTCCCCCAGAGGCGATCCGGGATTTCCAGCGGCGGAGCTTGGAGAAGCAGTGGCCACAGGCTGGGGCAGCGGGTGGGCGGCGGCATCGGGGCACTTTGCATCGTGGGAGCAGCCAAGCGCCCGGGTCTGCAGCAAAGGCGCTTGGCGGCTCCCACGATGCAAAGTGCCCCGATGCCGCCGCCCACCCGCTGCCCCAGCCTGTGGCCACTGCTTCTCCAAGCTCCGCCGCTGGAAGTCCCGGATCACCTCTGGGGTAAGGCTGGGTGAGAAGCGGAGCGAAGCTTCTCCGCAGCCTCCCAGTGCTACGCAGAGGCTCTCGCAGGAGCGCGTGCCAGCGGCTGGCGGCCCGGAGCGGCCTCGGCTGCGAGACAAGGCAGCGCTTAAAGCAGCCGTGCCGCCGCCACCACTCCTCCTTCGCCCGGCGGGGCGTTCCGGGTGAAGGAAGGGTGGTGGCGGTGGCAGCGGCTGCTTTAAGTGCTGCCTTGTCTTGCAGCCGGGGCCGCTCCAGGCCGCCGGCACGTGCTCCTGCGAGAGCCTCTGCATAGTGCAGAGAAGCTTCGCTCCGCTTCTCACCCAGCCTTCCCCCAGAGGTGATCCGGGACTTCCAGAGGCGGAGCTTGGAGAAGCAGCGGCCACAGGCCGGGGCAGCAGGTGGGCGGCGGCATCGGGGCACTTTGCATCGTAGGAGCCGCCAAGCGCCTTTGCTGCAGACCCGGGCGCTTGGCTGCTCCCGTGATGCAAATCCCCCCTGCCGAGGCCGACCGCTGCCCTGCTGAGCTGCTTCGCAAAAGGATGCCCAGCTGAACCTCACCAGGTATAAACTTCACCACACATCACTGTCATGTATTATATTGAGTATATACATAATTTATTTTTATTTAGTTAATCATGTTTATTTAGTGTATATTGAAGTGGTGACTCTTTGAGCTGTATCCAATGAAATTTCATTTTAATGTATGGCAATTAGTGTACATTCAAAGTGACAATAAAGTTAATATTCAATTCTATTCTACATTGGAGGTTTCTAGTATAATGTCCTGCTCAAGCAGAAGACCCTACACTAATGCAGACAAATGGCTGTCTTTAAAAACCTCCAATGATGGAGCAGCCACAACTTCTGGAGGCAAGCTTTTCACTAATTTTTCTCACTGTCAGGAAATTTCTCCATAGTTCTAAGTTGGTTCTCTCCTTGATTAGTTCCATCCATTGCTCCATTGTTCTGCCTTTTCTGTTTTGGAGAATATGTCGAACCCCTCTTCTTTGTGGCAGTTCCTCTTAGACATTGAAAAATTGCTATCATGTCACTCCTAGTCCTTCTTGTCGTTAATCTAGACAGACCCAATTTCTGCAACCATTCTTCATATGTTTTAGCCCCCAGTCCCCTAATAATTTTGTTGCTCTTCTCTGCACTCTTTTTAGAGTCTCAACATCTTTTTTTATATTGTGGTGAGAAAGATTGGATGCAATATCCCAAGCGTGGTCTTATCAAGGCTTTATATACTAGTACTAACACTTTATGCTTCTTGTCCTGTCGTAGGTGCTTTGGAGAATAGGTCCCGTTCCCCCTTCAGTGTGACACCTCTTAGATATTGGAACCATTTATCATATGATTTCACCTCCAGCCCCCTAATCATCTCTGTATTCTTCTATGCGCTCTTTATAGAGTCTCAGCATCTTTTTTGTACTATGGTGACCAAAACTGGATGCAGTACTCCAAGACTGGCCTTACCAAAGCAGTATAAAAATACTAACACTTCACATGATTTTGATTCCACCCATCTAGCCTGGAACTGCGCTGGATATTTGGCAGTTGCAGTACATTGCTGGCTCATATTTAAATGATTGTCCATTAGGAGTCCTAGATCCTTTTCTGACAGATACTGCTGATAAGGTACCAACTATTCTATTCCTGTGCATTTCATTTTTCTTGTCTAAGTTTAAAGCCTTACTTTTCTCATCATTGAACTGCATTTTGTTGGATAGGACCCAGTGTTCAAGTCTGTACGGATCCTTCTGGAATTTAAGCCTATCTTCTAAAGAGTTCGCTACTTCCCCCAGCTTGATGTTCCCTGCAAAGTTAATGTGCTCCCCTTCTATCCTCTTATCTAAATTGTTTATGAAGATATTGATGAGTACTGGGACTAAGATAAAACCTTGGGGTATCCCACTGCATGCTTTTCTCCATGTAGATGTAGTTTCATTGAGGACTACATGTTGAGTGCAGTTGATCAACCAATTACATATCCATGGTAATGATGCTCTCCATCTCACATTTTTGTATCTTACCAAAAAGTAGGTTGCGGTCTACTTTGTCTAATGCCTTATTGTCCATTTATGAATAGATTATGCCAGAAACATTTATTCTTATCATGGGAAAGTTCTATATGCTGTGCAAAGACAACATTTTTCCACCTCAGAAAGAAATAATTGTCAATGCAACAGAGGAATAAACAGAAACGTATGTTATAATCTATCTTACATAGATCAAAGTAGTGGCAAACTATTTTCTAAAAAAAAAAAAAAGGGAAGAATCCAAACATTTTGGGGGGAAATGAATCTAGGATACATTCATACCAAGTTGTGAGTCAAGAACTTCATGTAGCAAGGCCTCAATTTCATCTTCAGGTTCTGTTTTAACATGTACGTGTTCTGCATAAGTTTAGAAAATATATCACAAATTACTGAAAAGTATGAACAGAATTTGAAATAGCAGAAAATGGAAAATAAATATCTAGAGAAAAATTAATATGTTTTACCCTTAAAATAGTTTGTAATTGTGAGTCTCTCTCAACTACGTAATCGATGTTTTACACTGGCATTTCAGATGTTGGTTCATTCTACTATTTTTAAAGCATTCTTACAACTTTTTAAAATATACTTAAAGCTTCTTCCAATGATCTGACCAAACTAAAAACTGACACATATGCTATATCTGAGCTCAAAACAGCTACATCTTGCTTTTTGGATTTTTATACCACTATTTAAACCTGCTTCAACTTTTTCCAGAGCCTGGAATAAGTTGAAGCAAGTTCAAATGAGATATCATTTTCAAATTTTAAAAAACTGCAAAACATTTTGATTTTTGCAAATAAAATGAAAATATTACATTTAATCTTATTCAACAAATATTTTCTTTTTATTGTGTTCCTGATACAATTTTTTTATTCAATACTATTAACCTAAGATAGAATATATATATTTTTGTAACATACTACATGTATGCATTTGGCTACCAATTTATGTATTTTGCAAATGTGTGTATTAAAAAGAAATCATAATAAAAAACTTCAGGTGAAGAAAAGAGAGTAAATAGGATAAGGCAACTGATCTCAATCCATCCATTTTATAGTGTAAGCAAATTTGCTATATACAGGGCTTGGAATGGAATTTGTTACCTAATGTAAAAATGTACTCTTGAAATTTTCACCTTAATACATTTCTAGGTTGTATTTTAACATATCCGAGGATAAGCAAGCATAGCCTACAAGCAAAATACTTAATTATAGCTTGTCTTTGATAAGACAACAGGTTTTAAGGGAACCTTAAGATCTCTGAACAGATTCCAGGATTAAAATAGTGTTATCAGCATGGGGTCAAATGTAAACATAGAATTTATGTTTCCAACAAATTACTGCATCCCATGAGCACTATATTAATATGGCTGTGACATTATGTAGATTACTATGTTTTTACATAGAGATTTCCTGAAAATTACTTAGAAATTCCAACAACTGCAAAACCTCTCTTCCTTATGATTTACAATGGTTACCAATTTATTTCAAAGCCCTCTTTAATTGTTACTTTATAAAGCTTTAAATGGCTTTAGTCCAAGTATTTGTTAGAATGCCATTTTCAATATGTAAAGACTGGACACTAAAAGCTTTCGAAGGTGGCTTGCCTTTTAGCTCCACCAATGAGCAAGGCCTAAGAGTGATTATCCAAGCCAGAACCTTCAGTTGTATATTCTTGTTATGCAATTTGCAGCTTTTGAAAATAACTCTAGCATTTTCATCTTTGCAATTTCATCAATTAGTCAAAATTTCTACATTCACCTGGCGTATTAATTTCAGCAAATCACTCTCTTCATGTAATATATCTGAAACGTACCCACAATAGCAGCAAATTTTAAATTGGCCATCTCCTGAACGGTGGCCCTTTGTATATATCTCTATATTAGTAAATTTAAGTAGGATGTTTTATTGATATTTCAAAGCATCTATTTAAAAACTCTTCTCATTTCATGTATAACTATTAACTAAACTATTAAATTAAAAGTTAAATTGTTATACATCTTAGCCAATTTCCTTTAATTGTAGCTGCCATTTTACATCTGAAATATGCATTATATTTGACTTGCAATTCATTTTTATGAAATATTGATTTTGGAATAATTTCTGAAGATTATATCAATCAGGGAAAAAGCTTCACTGCTAAAGAAACTGTAAAAACAAAGATCATGTTAAATAGAAATTAACTATAATGTTGTACATCTGAAAAAACTCATAGGAAGCACAGAATAAATGTAATTTTGCAATAGTGGTGAAATGTTGTAATTGCAGATCTCATGTTCTGAAGCTTTTGTATTATTAAGGGCTCACCTGTTTTCACATGTGGCTTTTCTGCAGGTTGGATAACCTCTTCAGCACTTCTTGGTATTGATTGTTCTGGGACAGATCTTTCCTTAAGTCCTGCATTGTTTAGTTATAACATTAACTTTAATCTCTGCATCAATATTTTGATCCAATTAGGTATCATTATTATAACATAGGGTGAGATGGGAGATGTATAAATTTAATTAATTAATTAAGATGGGGGACATCAAACAAGGTGAAAAATACTTACCACCTCCAGAAAATCATGTCATCTTCAATTTAAGTTTTAAACATACGTTTAAAAATTACAGCACAGAAACCGCTTTGGTCGCATTGACTGATGATCTCTGGAGAGCTAGGGATGGAGGCCATGCTTCCATCCTAGTT